CTGGATGGAAGTCTGGAGGTCACCGAGGGAAGGGGAAGGTTGGACTCCATAGAGTTTCTTTTCACAGGAATAAGAAAAAAGGAAAAGGAATCAGCATTAGAACACAACAACCACCCTGCACCTTTCTTCAGCTCTTGGGCAGTCTCTCGCAGTTTTCCCAATTACCTTTCTCTCTCCAAAGCTACATCTATTGCCTGCTCTTCACCTGAAATGCCTCTCCATTTCTATTTCATTAACATGTCACTTTCTTAAGATGAAATATGTCCAGGCTCTCTTTCCTTCCCCTTTTGGCACAGTCTTTTAGGGGAAGATCAGGCTTGCTCAGTGTTCTCCTGTTCTCACAGTGAAACTCAGCCTGGTAATCAAACTTTTAACCTTTCTGCTGCCCAACGAGCCACCTAAATCCCTGTGTGACTGCTGAGGTAGTCTGTAGGACTCCAGCCTTTTAAGATTGTTCCCAAAGATAGAGATTTCCATTCTCAGGAGCTCCCTTTCTTCCCTTGGTGCTGAAAGAAAAAGGTTAACTTGGAGTTCTGGAAGGAAGACATGAAAGAGCAGCTTTCATGTCAAGGAACCCTTAATTACTAGCAGGTATATTGTTCATTAAAAACCCCTCTAGGAAAAAAACACTAGCAATCTGATTTCTTTTTTGGTGTGGTTGCATCTAGTAATATACTGGCACATGTGGTTCAGAGACTCTTGATTTTGCTGTTCCTTATCATGCTTTCTCCACAGTAACTATATAATCCTTTACTGCTGTATGAGTGGTAGACACCAGGATTTTCCCAGTTGAAGGCTGTAGTCTTAAAACTTCCACATCTGTGTTGGCTATGGATTCACCTTTTAATGCAGTAGTGTCTATCATGCAATATCAACAGGAGCTGTTAGCTGTCACCTGTCACATTTCAATGATGGTGTTAAAGTTTGAAATCGAGCAAATAGGTCCACCATGTGTCACAAGTTATGATTCAGGTTTTTTTCCATATCAGAAGCTGGTACAGTCATGGGAGCAATTTGCTTTAAGAACAGTAAAGGAAAAGCAGTTCCTCCAGTTGGTAATACAAAGTAATTTTTTACTGCATGAGTACTACCAAAAAGACTGTACATTTCATCTTTACATAAAGATGCTTCAATCTGGACAGTGGTGAGGGGACTAAAAAGGATCAAGAAATTGGCTTGTCTTTGTGTTGTACATTTACGGAATATTTTTACTACTTCAGTCATTTTCATTTATATAAATGAAGCTTCTCTTTTCCGTATAAATTTCTCATGTCCCCAAGGCCTCTCTGCAAATGTAGTAACACTTCAGCAAAGGGTAATTGAAGCTGGAAAAAATTTACAGCAAAATGCCATTTTTAAAGGGTGTAATGATACATACTGCAGAGACAGGATTTTTAAATTCACTATACAGAAACTTATTCCCTGTAGGAATGAGAGACCTGACGATTTAGAACTATATCATATTGGCTGCCACTTCTTCAACCCTTTAGGCAGTAGCTTTCCACAGTAAACTTTGGTTTCATGTGACCATAAAACCCCTGATATTCAAAAAGCGAACATCCTGAAGAACTCAAAGAGAAAGAAAATAAATGAAGTGCACCAAAAAATCACAATAGGAGTGTTTCTTGTTCCATAGCAAGATCAGCTGCTACCAAATCTTTTCCAGAGATGCCCACTCCGTACATGCTCGCTTGAACTCACTTTAGCTCTACAGCAGCTATTCCCCTCATACCTCAAAGCAATGGGATAATGAAGTGCAGTTGCAGAGAAGACATCTTGCAGAGAAGAAATAGCTTTCAGAATTTTAACAGGGTTTCCTGTCTTACTGTCACATATTTTTGCAAAAATCATATTTCATTCCTGGTTAAATGGTTAAACCATTTAGTATTTTCTGCCTCGTGATAACTATGTTCTTAGTGACCACAAAAGTCAGCAGTCATTAGCAAAAACAGGCTACCAGCAATTTTGCACTCTGGTGTAATATGATACACTGTGGTTTGTGCATGTCCGTTTTAATCACTCTAAGTAGGATCAGTTGAAGTCAGTGGAAGACAAAACCAGAAATCATTTGATGACCCACTGGGCGATTTAGGAGATAATTCACATTTTGGGTTCAACTGCTGGACCGGGACTGTAGAGAGTTTACTGATTGCACCTTTGGGAGGGTTAAATTCCAGAAATATCATGTCAGGGAAGAAGAAGATTTATAGAAGCATCGTAAAAACTGAATTAGACTTACATTTTTTAGGTTATTCTTTCTGAGCATATTTGATTCAACAAATTTGAAAAAGTGTTGTAAAGATACTGCAAAGTAAAATCTCTTGCTTAATGTTGTAGCTTCACTTCTACACATTTTTCTTCCATTATTTTCTTTCTTTTGGTCTCAAATGGAAGTTAAAAATCAAATCTATCTTTCTTATCTTTTCATGATTCAACTCCTCATCTTGTTACCATATCAACTGCATTAAATGCTATTCAAATTTCTGCTTTAACTTAAGTATTAGAAACTCAAAACATCAAATAAATTCTGAACTGGCAGACTAATGCAGTGATTTTTCCAGAGCTGACTGTACCGCCAACACAGTAGTTATTCATTCTCTGCTGAAAGTGAAGGAGTAAAGGCTTTTTATTTCTTCCCAAGATAGATAGGTTGCCTGTGTAGAGAAGTAGGTTAGTTGTCTGTAAGTTTTTTTGTGGGAGGATAAAGAAGTGGATGATAAAACCATCCTCATTTTGTTTTTCTAAAGCTTTCAGCCAGAACCCTCAAGAATTTTGCCAGCCATTAGCAGTGGCATCCCTTTGTTCCTTCAATTTTAGATATTTACAAAACTTGTTTTTCTCTTCTGTTTGTAGCACAAGAAGAATGGGCCACGACCCGTTCCAGCCTAAAGGCACCACCTCCAAGGTCAGCCAGAGGGGGTTACAGGGAACACCCCTATGGTAGATATTGAAGGTCCTCCTCATCTGTGACCTCCTCTCAAAGACAATTAATAGCCTGTGGTCTCCACATAAACAGCAACAAGACAAGTAATAGTCCATTTCTTTTCTATCCTAGGGATTACTGCTCATTATTATCCTATGTACTACTTGTATTTCCTATAACATTGGCGTGACATTGGCATTAGTATTATTTTATAACACGGACTTAAAAAAAACAGACAAAAAACCTTTGGCAAGCATTGTCTATAAACTATTCAAAGATGATGTTCTGTTGGTTGTATTCATTGCTGTGTGTAACTAAAAAGCATGACACTGTTACAGCTCTTGAGTCTCTCTACATACTAGTTAAGCCTGAGTTTCTGTTTAGGGTTGCTGAAAGACTGTAATATGTTTGGGTTTTTTGGGAGTTTTTTTTTGTTTGGGCTTTTTGTTTTTTTTCCAGCCAGCCAATAATCAAGCTGTAGATAAGATGTTTTAACCTGTCTTTTTTAATATATGTTAGTTTAGATTAAGATGCTCGATATTAAGTTTGTAAATTTAATTTTAAATGATGTTTTAATGGGGTTGAAAACAAGCAGCTACTGTATGTATGTAGCTAACTGAAGTTGTTCAGTGTTTTAACCTGTATTTGTTAAAAAAATCACTTAAAGTTCCATGTGTAAGCTTCTCTAAATAGGAAACCATAATTTTGTCAAATATGTTTGCCATAATTTGTCAATAAAGCTGAAACCTTTTGTAACAAACTAAATTTGGAATTACTTGTTTTCTAGCTTTAAATGCCTGCTTTATTTCTTTTTCAAGAGATGCCTAAAATGTTTTTTATATAAAAATTACAAAAATGAACCCAAGCCTGTTTTAAGATTTTTTGTGTAAGACTTTAAAAGTTGTATTAATAACTTCTGGTTGTTAAATAATATAAAAGTTAACAAACTAAACTGTTACATGAATCATGGTTAGTATCCACTAATGTATAACATGTTAATGGAAAAAAATGCTTTAGAACAATAAATGGATTTTAAACTATCCTTTAAGCTTGATCTTGCTAAACACAAACTCTGATTGACTTGTTTGTATTAGCATGTCTCTCGTGAGAATGTAATGGAGTTTAAAGAGGTAAGATTACCACTTACCACTGTTAGACTGTCTAAATGCTAGTTCTTCAACCTTTGAGTTTCCCCGCACATTAAATATCCCATTCAACATGTAAGCATTGCATAGATTCACCTATTTGTTTTCACTCAGAAGAGTGCGTTGACTGCATTTTTCGTAGTATATAACAATTTGTCTTGATAAACAAATCATCAGTGTCACTGCCCAGCTGTTGGTACTCAACTTCAAAAACTTTATTTGTAATTTTCAGTGCTAAAAATCACCGCCCTTGAAGGCAGTTTAGAGAGCTGATATTTCTTTTGAGACTATCAGACTTGATGGCTGATGATTATTAAGGAAATATGTCGCAGGACTCAAAGGATGACTAAACGTTAAACAGGTAACACTAATAGTAACTCTGTAATTTTGAGTATGCAACAGTAATGTAAAATATTCTCAGTTATTAAGTTACTGATAGTTAAAAAAGTAAACCTACCAAAAGATAACAAATAGGTATATAGGCTATTAAAACAACTAATTAACATTAACTAGTGACAACAAAATTATTCTACAATATATAACCCTCAAGGTAATAAACAGAACTAAAATTAACAATAATAGTAATGCAACTCTTGCTAACAACAAATATATAACCTAAATTTTGATGAAGAAAAAAAAAAACAAAACAGAAGACTTGATGGTAGGGATGCCAAAACTGTTAATCCTTTCAATACAGTCTTTTTGTTTACAGTGGCTTTTTGTCAATGTGATTGGTTTACTTTTTTGATGATGCGACTAAAGTACAGGCCGATTGCTGTTCAGTTTGTGAACAAAATCTCTTGCAGCTGGAGTTGCATGCTAGCTCTTTTTGAATAGTTTATGATGAGTATGTTTTGTCCTTTGAAGTGTTAAAGTGAATTTAGTCGGCTGCATGATGGTTACATTGAGTTTATTCTGTTTCGCTATTTCAGAGACTCACAGGCACTGGACAGCTAAGCAGCAGATCTGCTGGGAAGTGGTCAGGTAAGCTCTGCTGCATCTCAGGAGGTTTTCCTATTCCCTGTTTTCTCTCTGAATTTGCTTTTACTAATGCACGAAAATGTATTCAGCTACAGTTTTAAAATAAATGCCTTTCCAGCAATGTTTCTTTGCGTATCAGCATAGTGATTATGATATAATGGCAATCAAAACATTTACATATATGTTATGATACTCTTCATTTCAATAAAAGAAGTCTTGTCATACAGCCTTTAATGGTAAATATTAAGATGGTGTACTTTATAAATGCTCTTGCTAAAAACATGAGCTTCTGTTTATTAAAAGCATGCCTACATTTTGGCTAGTTACATAGCAAAAAAAATTGCAATGCTAGCTTGTCTTTGCTTCTGAAAACATTTAAAATTTCTTCCTATGAAAAATGTATCTGTATAGAGGCAGGAAGTTTGTCATTTATTCTTAGGCTTGGTAGATTTTTCTTTTTTTATGCTTTAGAAAAGCAGGGACATTTAGGTATTAATACGCAATGGCACAGATGGAGGCATTACTTATATTTATCTGTTAAATACATTTAAACATAAAGGTGTCTCTTGGATGACCTTAAATAGACTTCAGGTTTTATGGGACATTTTTGACTGAAGACAAATGTCATAGCTGGAAACAAAAAATGAAAATTCAGCTCAGTTACAACTTTGTCCGTGGACTCAGAAGTGCTGAGACCTAATCACAACACAAAAAATACAAATTCTTGTCGTCATTCTTAACTAGAAAAGATTACACAAATACACAGTCCTAGACACATTTATTACTCTGGCATCTTTCCCCATGACTGTGGTCTGGATGATGGAACATTTTCCAGGTATAGTGGTATTCAGCAGTTACTTACAAACCTCAAGCTGTGTTGTATAAAAAAGATATAAAGGGTTTAATTTTCCTCTCCAGAGAGTTTCCTCAAGATCTTTATAAATTGGTTTTATTGATGTGCTACAACCACCCTACAGACCAAAATAATGTAGTATGACATTAAGGTTTTTCTGCATTTTACAGTCACATCAGTGTGAGTGTACCACTGTAGGAAAATCTTCCATCTACCCACCTTGCATGTATTTACATTCATTTGCTTCAGCCAGTATATATCTCTGCAGAAAAGAGAAACACTCTTTCCATTGATATAAATAGTTTCATACTGGTATAATTGTGATTATAGATTATTATATATTATACTATATAACTATTCCATATGCTCATATGCCTTACTGAAATGATTAATAACACAAAGCTGTGAGCAGGTCATACCTGATCTAAGGGAGATCCAGGGCAAAGTAGATAAAATTAATTTCTCACTTGTGCATCACATTTTTATGTGAGGGTAACTACTGTGAACTCCTTTAGGATGGAATTCAATAAATATAGCTTTATAGCAGAGCAGTATCCTTTAATATTCCTGTCTCCAAGTCTACTTTGCAGCCATTACTTGTTTAAATTTTTAAAAATGGCAGAAGATGTCAGTAAAATGATGCATTGTGAAATATTCTTACATAAGAATTACTTTGAAAAAGTAGGTTAAGTCAGTTCAAGCAAGCAACTCTTTATGCAAGCATCTTTCCTATTGATTTTCAGGAAAATAGTATGAAAAATTACCCAAGACTGCATGTGCTGTTCAGTGCTAACTAAAAGTATAGTTCACTACTGTTTCTGAAGAAGCCTTGCAGTCAGTCAGCTATGTCTTGGGAAAAACATAATCCACTTTATTATTTTTTGAGGGAGTAACAAGAGAGTCTGGTTATTCTAATGAACAGCTGTCTTCAGGTCTTCCATGAAAAGTTGTGACATATTCCACACATCCACCATCAGGTTGGCCACAGTTCTGAGTTCCTGAAAACTTATGTGCATTACTAGAAAACGTGTAATTTCACTCATGCTGCAGACACTTGTCACCAACCAAACATTTTATTTGGCTTAATCATTTACCAATTGGTTTTGTTTGTAATATGAAGAAAAAAGCAATACAAAATACCAAAATTAATAAGTTAAAACACTGGGAAAGAGAAGTTAAAAACTCAAAAATTCTATTCAGATATTTCTAAGTGGTTTTTTTGTTTATCTGGGTATCTGACCTCATAGGGTTGACCTCATATATAGAAGTTTGATCTTCAGAAGAAAGTAGTGCTAATATAGTTTTTAGCACTTTTTTAATAGTTACATCAGCAAATTATATTTTGCTTGTATTCAAGAGCCATCCTAACTGAAAAAATTAGGTATTTCTAGAGCAGCAACTTTTATTAGAAAATGAAGTAGCACCACGTAACTCTTTCCTATTTGGTTTATCTTACAATGTTTAAACAAAGATCTTAAATCTTCACATGAATAAATGAAAAACCTCAGAAAACACAGTATATCTGACCTCACCACAGAGGATATTGGCAATGTTTTTGTAGCTCAGTGAGGTCCTCAACCTCCATTCAGAGTGACAGAGCTACAGCCATAAAAACAAGTGATCTCTGTCCCTTTACTCCACACCGGTTCCATAGCCCAGCCACAATTATTCCATTTTATTTAGACATGTGCTGACTTCCAAACTGCCTGACACTGATGTTAGTGATGAGGAGTGAGGGCATGAGAAACACATCACTGTGTCTGTGGTAGCTCTGAGGAAATGGATGTGCAGACCTTGAGAGTGAGCAGGGAGGATGGAAAGGCGTGTGTCTGTCTATTATTCTAATTAACAGCTGCCAAACCCCAGCCACGACTGAGGTACTGAGCTGCATATCAGGAACGTAGTAAAGCAACCAAGTTACCATTAGGATCAGGATAATTAACATATATGAGTGCATCCGTTGAAAGGCTCATTATTTTATCATGATAATATGGATTTATGGTAGCCCTCATGACATATCATCCAGGATTATTATCTGAAGGTTAAAATAAAGAATATGTGACCAATGGATTGTGTTCAAATAAAAAACAGTTTGGTCTACATTAGTGATGTATTTCCTCCATGTTTGACAATAGGAGTGTTGTTTTGTGAACTGTCAAAGTCTAAAGTTTTGCAAGAGTCAAATATTGCAGCTACAAAAATATAAAAGGAGGTAAAGGAGAATTATCAAATTAGGTAAACATTGGAGAGAAAAAGTCTTTGATAGTGAGTGAAGGAAGCCTGTGATCCATTAAGGAAAGGAAGCCCTAAACATTTTCCATATTGTATTGCATTCACATGCAGAAACAAGTCAAGACTGTATAAAAAGGTTAAGTAGGGACAGAACTGGATATCCATGTTCCTCATGCAACTTTCTTAGAGATACCTCATATTCTTTAAAGCTCACTGGTAAATTTCCTTTCTTTTATGGAAAAATAACTGTGTAAAATGGAAAGAACTGAGAAACTCTACCTAAATGTCTTAAATAGCTACATATTTTGACAGAAAATTGTTCTCCTGTTGTCTTCTGTAATTTCTTTTGTGAAGGAAATACCAGATCTAAAGAAGAGTATGATCTCCTTAAACAATGTTTGCAGACATCTTCTTAGCAAAAATGTTAAAGAAAATAGTTTTGCTTTTTTTAATAAGTATTACCTGAATTATTTCATAATGTTGTAGAACTTCAATAAATGGCTCAAGATTGCAAGAAGTTAAACCAGTTTGGGGAAAATATTTATACAGTTAGAATCACAGAATAGGTTATAAATTAATCCTGTGTGACAAAGAACCAGTTTATCCCTATATCATAATCTCTGGATTTTTAGGGATCAGGAGGACAGAGTTCATTTGTAGACGCATTTTTTTCAAGGTAGGGTTAAAAAAAAATCATTTCACTAAGAGATTATGAAGTTTTTACACAAAAAGAAAGGTTATAGGTGGAAAGGTTGGCTGTATTTAATGTCCAAAGAATAAAGATCGTATTTGTTATTATTTCAGGTCATCCTCTGTTATCAACAGATTAGTCTAAGTACAAAAATAACCTGAATTAACAAGTAAAATCACTGGAAAAACTGAAAAATATTTGAATACTGAACAGAAAAATAATGCTAATGTCTTCTGAAGATTTTTGTCCTCCATTAAAAACTTAGATGCACTCTGTGACCTCTGTCAGGTATTAGAACCCAAAAGTTACCAGAAAAAGTGTCACATGTTATCAATTTTACTGTACTGGTCTGCTGAGTTCGAACAGGGACATAGGTAACTTTCTCAAACCAGTTACGACTTCAGAGATGATCACCATCACCACTCTGCTGTTAGCTAATTAAATTTTTTCTAGTCATTACTGTTTATCATTGGAACCTGACAGAGAGCTTTGAAATCATTAAGCCTTTCCTTTTTCTTCAGTTTTTTTTTCTTTCTGGTCCTGTCAGTCAGATGCTAACACTCATTTGAAACATTAAGGTAAATGATTCCTCATGAAAGATTTGCTGACACACAGCTATTAGACAATTTATGAGCTTTGCACATGGAATGCTGGTATCTTTTAGTGGAAACATATTGTATACAGTGTTTATGTTCTGAAACCATGGAATCTGAAGGTGAACTCTGCCTGCCAGTATGAGTAAAGGAAAGATTTTCTGTCCTTTCACAGTCTCTGGTTGACTAAGTTATTTGTGTTACATCTTGGCAGAACATGTTGAAATATCTAAATCATGCATATCTGGAACAAAGTCTTCATTCTCAAAGAGAAGCAATTTTTATCAACTTAAGTGTAAGAAATGCAGATTTCTAAAGTTCTACTAAAAACATGTCACTGTTGTAAAGATTTGTTTTTCTTACATAAATCCTTTTAAAAGGCTGTGTTGGGTAGTTATTGAAATATATAAATGCCTCCTTTCATAAATTAATTGAACTAATTTTAACACCTAGTATGCTTTACCAGAGGATAGAGAATTTATTGAAAATGCAATTGTGGTCATATTTTAAGTATGTAAATCAGAAGGAAGGTTTATTGGAAGAAAATCACACCCCTGCTGTAACAGTATAGGTCATCATTTACATATTAAAAACAAAAATATGAAAGAAAAAGATGTGCAGTTGATCGTCTATA